TTGTCATTTTTTCACCTTAACTGATACACATTTAGTTTCCCCACGTTTATTCAGTCTTCTAAATAATATCATTAAAATTGTTTGATACGTTTTCTATAGTTCAATAGTTATTTTCCCTTTGTATTTGTTTGAATACTTATTTTAGCTTTATGCCATTGTTCTTCTCGTGTCTGTGGCTGGAGTGATGGGTGGTTATCTGAGCGGATATGGTTACGGTTACCCTAGCTACGGTAACTATGGTTACGGCTATCCTAGCTACGGATTTGATTATGAATATGGAGGATTTGGTCAGAGTTATGGTGGCTATGACTATGGTTACCCATATTACGGATATGGCCGTGGTTATGGGTACAGGAACTACGGATATGGACATCGTCTTAGCTATGGACATGGTTTTGGATATCCTATCTATGAGTACTGATAAAATTACATAATCCCAAACCTCTGTTTTCAGGTAATATTCTGTACTTTACAACATAAAATGTTTAAAAGTATTACTTAATATCGTAATTGTGTACATAATCAACCTTATGTGATAATTTAGCTAATTTGGCTCGTCATATAACAAGTTTTGTAATAAAACCTTGTAAGTCGATAAAACATGATTTCTGTTAAACTACATTTTTCCGTCTTTTATTTAAAACCTTGTTTTTATTTCTGTACTGACTTAATTATTGTAAATTATGTATTTTTATTCCACGTAGCTCGAGTTAATCTCCGACAGACGGAAAAGTGACGTATACAGAAAGACCCTTTCTCTCTCTCTCCATAGTGTCACTGAAGAAATTATAATGATGCAATATTGTTATGGTGTAACATAAAAAAATAAAGATATTATAATATAACTTTCAAACTTGTTCGTTTACTAACCTCGGTGACCTCTGTGTCTGTAGTTCATTATTTAACCTCCAACCATAGAAAATGTAACTAATCTTTAGCTCTCGTGGCAAACAGTCACTATTCTCCATCTAGTAGAGAAACTGACTGTCACACTTATAACATACCAAGAGCTCAGAGTGCAAAGCAAAACATCTATCACCTGAAACTCTAGTTTGATACCCTTTAGACCGGGATCTGAACTTTGTCGTGTAAACATTCTGAAGGTTTAACGTTCCCTTTTTCGAATACATACTGCACCGAATATATAGTTTTATTGAAGACAATGTTGAACACTTATATTTAGGTCTTTACAATACATGCAAAGTCTTTTAATGTTTATTTCTGCACCAGTGCGTGATTAGAATGCCTGAGTTGAAAGTCTCACTACAGTGAACTAATTAGCAGTTGTTCCATTCAATGTAAAATATTAAAGACTAATCTTATCGTAATATTATTCTACTCCTTCTTAGTTTTTCTTAGGTCACTTCAGTAACAAACTTTATAGATAAGTTCGAAGTGAAGCGTCTGATAAACACGAATGTACTGTGATAAATATAGTCTTGGTCAAAATGTTTGTAACAAATTATATCATTATTATTAAGATGGAATAACAATACACTTAGCGCTGTTAAACATCTACATATGTAACTTGTATAATGAGACAGGTTCTATAGACATCATGAACGATTTATTAGAACAACAAACAATTTTATCAGACACCTGTAGAAAAATGTGTAATTCAACATTTCACCTATCACAACAAAACCTTACCACAACATATACAATGACAAAATATAACATGAAGGTATTATAAATAGCCTCTGTAACCTTATATCGGTTCATATTAAACATTCAGTACTTGGTTGGTACTGCTCGTACTCTAATAACCTCCGCAAGGCGACGTGGCATATTGTCAATCAGGTTATTGGTGTAATCCACTGTGATATTCTCCCAACTTGTCAATAAAAGGCTCTATAACCCAGTTACAGTAGCTGTTTTAGGGTCGTGGTTACCAATTTTCCGGTTCAGTTCTGCCCAACAGTTCTCAAAGGGATTACAATCTGGAGACCTTACTGGTCATGGCAATCTTGTAATGCCCTCCTGGTGGAGATAATCATATACAACACGTGCACTGTGGACAATGGCATTGTCATCCTGGAACACAAAGTTACTGCTAAACTTTGCCCTAGCTTATGTCAGAAATATCGTCTCCATGTGATATCTGTAGGAAGCACCATTGACATTTCCCTAGTGGATATGAAGAGCAGTTTGTCCACCATGATCAATAGCTGCCAATATATGTACTGCACCATCTCCTGTGTTGTATTTCCTGTGAGAAAGACAATTTTCCCCCATCTGTTCTCCAGGCAAACGATGAACACAAATTCTACCGCCAGCTTTAACAATATAACATGTTGCCAGTGTCTTAACTGTAAGTTGGCATGCTGTCTTGCCCATGTAACACAGTAACAGGGGTACATTCTTGTTAATGTCGGTTTACAGATAGCCTTTCTTGCTAAATAACCTTGTTTGGTCACTCTCCTATTAATCATTATGAATGAATGTATTTATGTCATTCCTGTGGAACGATATTGCAAGACTACTTTAGACCATGACTTGTTAACCTGATCAAAACATAGTCATTTCAGGCGGTAGCGTTTCGAAGTCTAACAGTAGACTTGGCTGGAACAATGTTTCCTGTAATCTGATGACGTTTCAGGATTCTGGATACAATACACTTGGTATACTCTACTATTCTGGCAATGTCCATTTGCTTCATACCATTTCTGGACAGTCGAACAATTTAACGCCCCACAACTTCTGGTAGGTGACGAGGCATGACTCTACACCAAGTACAGAAAAACTGTCTGCACAAAGCATTGATCTGTTTCGAAAAATATTATAACAAAAACACCCTTTTATATAAAACAGGTGAGTATGTGTGTTTTGATGAAAGAAATGTTCAAAATAACTTATACACACCAGATATCAAGTTGTACATGTTTTTCTGATCATACACTATCTTATCTGTTACTATTCGAGCATTTACTCAATAACTACTCCATGTATGTAGACAATAACATCAATGTAGAACAGTATGCAATCATTTTGGCCAAGACTGTATCACTTAACTGCTGGTTTACAAATGTCAAACTCATGAATTTTTAAGAAGGTAAGAATGTGGTAGAATGGAGAGAAAAAGGACAGAAAATTTCTGAAATTGGAAGTAAAGTAAAATTGAAACCCTCTAATGCTTTTCAACATTTATTTTTAAAGCTTCTTTGATATGAATTCCAATTCTTTATCTGAACTCACGATAAATAATATAAAAATAGTTCATTATATCATTATATTCTAGAATTACTTAAGTTGCATTGTCGAAACCGACAATTTAGTCTTAGCAGGCCTTCAATCATTTACAGAAAGTACAACAGATCTGATGAATAACGTAAGAAGTGTTTACCAAATGTTTAAATTGGAAACTAAAATAGATTTTTACAGTGCCAAAAATAATAAAGGACAATAAAATGAATCTTGAAATTAACATCAACTAATAACGAAAAGTAAAATCACTCTTTGTGCAATGTCAGTAGTTTGGTTCCCGGCCTAATAACATACAAACTGGTTCCACTTTGTTTAATTATTACGTAATCGTCTGTCATGGCCGCCTGCTATGGGTGGCCTAGCATTACGCCCTCTGGTGATATTTTGTTAAACTATAACATCAACGTCTCCCCATTTTCACCCTACTGCGTGGCGACATTCTTTGGACAGAACAGTTGTAATTAACTAATGAATTAGTGTTTTATACCAACTTTGTTAAATACACTCATGTTGAGACATGCTGAACAAATTCGGGAACAATCTGGTGATATTTTGTGGAAATAATACGTCATCCTCTCTGATATCATGGCCACCTGTGATGGTTTCCTCACCATTTATATGTAAATCATCATGAGAAGGACAATTAACACCAAATTATTAGTTCTATATATTTCCTGACCATTTGTATGTAAAACGTCCAGAAAAAGACGTTTATTTAAATATTGTGCAATAATTAAGATATACTGTTTCTCTAATTTGACTTCCTGATATTCACGTAATTTGACAAAATAATTCATTTACACACGTTTTACAAAGGTAGATGGTGTTCTACATATACAATGTGTCACTAAGGAAAATCGTTTTTCAATGTGTCTCAGCATACGATTACGTTTTAAGTAAAACTATTATTGATGAAACTGTTGAATGAACGGCAACTGCCTCTTGTAGAAACATAAGTGTAGAGGGCGACCTATCGAAAGTCTTCCACCTTTCGTCTTCCGGTGAGTGTGTCTATGTCTATGGCAGTTATTTGGATTTGAACTTAATTATTTTAAAAGAAATAATTAATAATCAGGGGCGCTCGAAGATTAAGCAATCCTCCTTCACCCCCGCACGTGGATTAAAGGTGTGTGCTTTAATTGAAGTATAAATCCTTTGCTAAGAATATGATGTTGGGGAAACAGGATTACCTGGACAAAACCCACTTCCACTGGTAACGACCAATCCGTTATCAGTGCCAGGCTAGCGAGAAGAAATAAATTTGAAAGGCAAAGTCTGGTGCTGGAGGTTGATTAAGGTTTAAAGGAGTTTTGGATTATTTTGGTATTTACCAGGGCTTTACTGGAGTTCAGGTTCATGTTTCGGTATGGTTGTAAAGTCCCTGGTGTCATTGGTAAGTGGACAAAGAGCAAGGAAAGATTCGTCGAGTATATCAAGGTCGGGGGACGTGTCGATTACAAGAGCGTTGGGTGAGTTTGACGAGGAGGGTGCAGAATGTGGGGCTGGGCTGAAGGGCGGGTTGTTGGTTTGTTGATATGCATCGTTCGTTAGTGGTAGGACTGGCGGCTGGGTCTGGGTACCTTTTTTTCCTTCTAGTAGTGGTAGTTTGGGTCGTCTGGTCTTTTATTTCTGTCTCAGATGTTGGCGAAGTTTGAGTTGCTTGATATGGGTTGGGTAGTAGAGTTCTGGCAGGCAGCGGTTGTCGTTCGGATGTTGTGAAACATGGCTTGGGAGGTGAACTGGTAAAGGTAGGGGGAGGACGAGGCTTCCGATACGGTTTCTCTGCTTTGAAATTGTATAATTCAAGAGAGCAGCCGTGAGTATGGATGAAGTCTGCAGTTAGTTTAGAAGTCAACTTTCATGAAATGAACCTGTTTTCGTGGATTCTTGAGTTGGTTGAAGTTTCCAGGGCTTGATGGATTTCTTCTGTGGTAAAAGATATGCGAGCGTTTCTTAGAAATACTGTGTGGAGACTGGCAATGCTTTTGGGGGGGGGGGAGGGGTGGCATGTGACGGGTGAAGACCAAGGGTGGCAAAGGTAAAGGAGATTATGAAAATTGAATTTTTTAAATAAATGTTCTTAAACATAATTTCCTTGTGTTTTTAAATATCTATTTCAAGTAATTTGGACACCTGTGCAGGGAACAAATAATTCAGCTTGTATTAAATACTTTTAAAGATTGAGAGGTTTAAGAATACAATATATTTCAACAGGAA